GGGGTGGCGCTGCAACCTCCCCATCAACCCTGCCTTGAGTGTGACAGAGGGCGGTGCCCCAACCCCCCAATCGGCTCTACCCTGAGCGTGACTAGGGGTGGCATCGCAACCTCCCGATCCGCCCTGCTCTGTGCATGACAGGGGGCGGTGCCCCAACTCCCCAATTGGCCCTTCTCTGAGCCCAACCAGGGGCTGCACCTAGGGATTGGGCCTGCCCTCTGCCACCCGAGAGCAGGCCTAAGCCAGCAGGTCGTTATCTCCCGAGGGGTCCCAGACTGCAAGAGGGCACAGGCCGGGCTGAGGGACCCCTCCTCCCCCCCCGAGTGCACAAATTTTTGTGCACTGGGCCCCTAGTATATATATAAAAGGCTAATATGCTAAGTGTCCCTCCAACCATACGACTGGTCACTATGACATGCACTGACCATCAGGGGGCAGACGCTCAACACAGGAGCCACAGTGATACCCACTTGGCCATTTACAAAGAAACGTTACCACAGACTGGGCGCCGACAAAGCAATACTTGGCTTCCCCCAAGTGGCACACAGGCCCTGCCACCACCCTGGAGCGACAGCCCACCAAATCGCAGCCGACGCTGCCGAGACCCCATGGCGCAAAATACGGCCCACAGCCCAGCCCAGCCCAGAAACAGCCACTGTGGGCGCCAGGTAATGATGTCACATAGCAACACCCCACTTCCTCTCCTTAGCCACTAGCCTCCTTGCAGTTTCTTCAACCCAGGAACACGACTTGCTTTATAGCCAGGTGGAAACATTTTACACAACCAAATGATGTCTGTGAAGTGTTTTCACGTGCCTCATCTCATTTGATCCTCATCTCATTTGATCCTCACAGAAGTCCTGGAGTAGGTAGATAGGAGACTCAGTAGAATCCTATTTTCTTTTCATTAGCCAGAAAATGGAGATTTAGAAAGTTTAGAAACTTGACCCGACTGAAAAGAAGAAAGAAATGATGGACCTTGAAAATGACTCCAAGGTTTTCTTGCTGAACAGAATACAAACATTGCTGCAGTTACATATTTTACCCTTTGTTCTCCCTGCATGATCTACAATAATAATCTGCTTCGTGTTGATATTTACTGCTGTGTTGCTGACAATTACCTGAAAGAGAAGTTGGGGTGCTTCACTGGGCT